TTTATGGAACTTTAATTCTTCACCTGATCTTGACATACTTTTGACCATGCAGTGTATGTCCAATTCCTGAGCAGATCATTCATTGTCAGGTTGGGTAAGGATCATCGGCCTTCACTAGACATTGTGCGAATCAACTTAATGGCAAAATGTCCCATTCAGATGCTTTTCACTGTTGGACTACAGCCTAATGCAAGTGGGGCTCAGATGGCTCTTGAAAGGTTATCTTCAGAAGACCATGATCTCTCAGAGTTCCATGTAATGTAACCTAAGCCTCAGCATTTGGTCATGTGATTTATAATAGCTCTGTATTGTATGCAGGACACCAAATGTTCAATTAACCTATTCATTACTGATGTTAACATATGTTACATAAGTCTTTGGATGAAAATTATGTACTTTATTTACTAATGTAGAGATGAAATCTCTATTTTCTTGTGCTGTTCTACATTTTACTATGCCTCTAAAAGCTCTAATAGATCTGTGCTGCTTGGACAGGACATTCTGGCACTGGTTGCTTGCAGTTCAATAACTCAATTCATGCTAATATGACTGACTGTAGCCAGCACAATTATCCACTGTCACAGCTTGGTTTATGTCACAAATAAACCATTGTTACAGTCCTCCAACGGCCAGCGGTCTGGGCAAGCCCTTGTTAAGCTTGTTAAAATTTTATCAGCAGAATTTGGCAAGAGAGGAGAGGCTACAAGGGAAAGTGCAGGTAATCCAGTTTAAAGAATTTAACGGTTTAATTAGTTTGAAATTTGCAATTATACAGTTCACACTAACTTAGAATTTTCAGCAAATCTACCATGGTTTGTAATATTCACCATCTTAATGTTTATCCAAAGTGAATAACAGCCTTGAAAGTGGCTTTCAAACTTCATTAACCTTGAAATTTCTCTCTCTTAAAGGTACCTTATCGCCACTGTGTAAAACTTGAAAACAAATGAGTAGCCTGTCGAAGAAAAGATTTAATATATACCTTTTGAGGGGTGGGCGAAATCTTCACTCTCTCAAGCAGCTACAGTCGCAGCTGGTATCCAACACTGGCACTGTGGTTCCTCCAGCAGGCTGCTGTGTTGCTTGTTTTTGTAGCACAAACGTATTGGAATCTTTTATATCCTCTTTCAGGCTCTCAGTATAAGATATGAGTATGTCATTGCTACAGCAGACCGGATGGTATCATTTGTGGTTCAGAAGTGGATGCATTTGTCAGTTGCACCCAATTAGGGTAACACGGCTGTCCAGCTTTCTTCTGTAACCTAAAGCCTAGATATATATCATATGAGGCTTAATTCACAAAGTTAACACACCAGCATAAGGATACTGATTTTGCCAAAAAGTTATTTATTTTAAGTCAAGTTTAATGAGATTTGAAAATCCCAGTTACACAAAAAAATTTAAATCTTTTATCTCTGTGTTAAAGCTTGGTGAATTAGGCCTGTGGTCTTTAGCTGTCAGGGACATTATGTGTGTCATTAGAGACTGCAGAGTGTCTGTCTCTTCTCAATCGCACAGACCCTTTTAGTTTAATACTTGCGATGAGATAAGACGACTGGCAATCCTCAATCAATGTACAGTACTACTAAAGAGGAACCAGCGTCTCCATATGTAGCGAGCAAACATGACTGCACCCATGTACATAAACTTTTGATAAAATTCTATACATAAACATTCTGTACATTAAAGTGTATCTAGACACTTTTTTTTGCTCTAGATAAACTACAGACTAAAATTCCTATTAGGTGTGTGTGGTTTTTTTTTTTGCAATCTGTGCTCCATAGGGGAAAACTCCTCTCACTTCCTCCCCCAAGAACATAACCGGTCAGAAGAAATTTCTACTAAATGAGGGGAAATTTCATCTTAGACTGTAACTGGAACGTGTGTCTTCATAAGATTTCACCCCTATTCCTATTCCAATATCAGCTAAGCTTTAACTACAATCTCACGCCTAGTATACTAATTTGTATTGAGATTGTAGTCCATCACAGGAGCAAGCCTGGAGCGGTGTCTACTTTACAACACACACAGGGACCATGGGGAACAAAAGTATCCAGTATCCAGAAGGAAGGACAGTATCAGCACCAATCCAGAGATGATTTGAGGATCTACAGCCGAGTGATACACAAATAAGATAAATTTTTGTTACTAGTTGAGGTACTTTTAGATTGTAAGCCCTCACGGACAGGGCCCTCCTTACCATCTTGTCTTGAATTGTATTGTAATTGTAATGTCTTCCTTATATTGTAAAGCGCTGCGCAAACTGTTGGCGCTATATATAAATCCTGTATAATAATAATAATATACTTTAATGCATTTTTTAGATTTAACCCCTGAGTTTAGTGTCACTTTAAAACCTGGTAGAGGTTCTGAATCTGATCTATCAAAAAATATAAATAACCATAGTTCCCTTTTCACAGAAGGGGGGTGGGGGGTATACAATTTAAATCTAAGCCCAAAAATAGCTTTCATATTCCAGGCAGATAATGATTAATTGTTGTACTGCTGTTTCCAGGAAATTTCCTTTACGTTGACATAAGGCATCTCTATTACCCTCGTTTTTTTGGGTGACTCAGAATTCATTTAGCGTCTGTTTTGCGCAGCCTGTCATTTTTCTACATCTCGCTGAACATTCTTACGGATGTGTTCTGCATATTCTTCCATTTACATACAAATGTCTGTGAACCGTCTAATGATGAGACTTGTTAAGACAGAGCTGGAGCAGCTAGTACAGAACAGTTTTTATCTTCTGTCAGCTTGAATTGTGGCTTCGCTATCTCAGCATCTCCCCCATGTGTCATCACCTCGTGATTTGGGTATTGTTAGGAAGAGATGTTAAGCTGTATTTGCGTATTGTGACACTTAATGAAGGCAGAATATATTTTGAAATGATCATGTGCTATTTTCTGAGACGTGGGTCTGTGGATACATTGTAGTGCTTATGGTCAAAATGTCAGTTGTGCATCACATTTATTAGCAATCCTGCTGAGTACAGACACAACAGTTAAAGTCTGCCAGGTAATATTATGGGTATTTTAAAAGGTAATTCTGTCGAATACTAAAAATACAGTTTTATGTGGAATACATTGTGTGAAAAAAATTGTTATTCGAAAGTTCCAGCTTTCTGCAGGTCTAATGTATATGTTTTTGCCACCATTGGTCAAACGTGACTTTTAGTTAGAGAAGAATTCAACTGTCAAACTTGTTTTCAATAATGAAGCTAGATCAAACAAATATACATGGCCAGCAAAGTATCCCTTTATATTTTTTGGCCAAGCACTTAGTTATTACGTTTCCGAACCGCTCAAACTCTCTCAGCTTGGCTTCTCTGAATTTCCCTTTCAGTACAAGAGCACAATGGGCACCAGCAGCTGTCCATCTACTAGCATGGAGATGGAAAGGAGGAGTGGAGAGCAGGGGGGGTGGCTTATCTTGCTTTGTCTGTGTATTTGTTAAAAATGTAGAAAGTTAAGCCACCAGCTCACCAGGGTCTCTGGTGGCTTATCTTTCTACATGTTGATCTGTGCGGCGCCATCCGTTGCTACTTCAGCACTCGCCAAAACTTTGTGAATGGGATTCCGGTAAGGAGTGCGATGGGATAATTTCCGATTGTGTGTTTGTTGAAACACACACAGCTTACTACCATAGACAAGGGTGGCTCTATAGTACCCTCCAAGGGAAAGGAGCCTAAAACAGGATATCAGGGACAGTGGTCAGAAGACTAGCTTATTCTGCAGGAAACAAAAACTTTTAAACATCAAGAAGCAGCATGCATTGTTAGTGATTTATATCAGCATTTAACATAGCTTTAATATCACTTTAAGTTGTACTATGGGGAATATGGCGGTTGCTATTGGTGGTTGACCATGTTTTGAAAATGCTCGTTGCCAGACCAATGTATCTTTGAGACTTCCAAATGGCTGGGTCAGGATGTAGCACGGATGTCGGGAGCTGCAGTGAGACACGTCTGCTCAGTCTCACATCGCGGCCACGCCCCCCAAATGGCCTTTTTTTAATGCACATGACAAAGGTTAAGTCTACTGTTATCACCATCATGAAGCCCCCCCAAGAAATGCCATTGAGTCATCACTGGAGTGCATGTGGACAGGAAACAGCTGTAAAAGGGCTACAGGAGATCAGATGCAACAAAGGATGAAAAATATGAAAACCAAGTATTTTACTCAAAAAAAGAAATGTCCTTCAGTTGTGTGTTTATAGACGTGTTGTACAGTTTATTTTCCTGCATTGATAGGATATCTGTGAGACCCCATTCATACCTGAGTGTTTTGTAGATTGAATGCCTAAAGCTGGGTATACACTGTTCTATTCTTTTCATTCAGCCTGCTGAACCCATCCCCCCCCAAAAAAATAGAACAGATTCCTCCATTAACGCTTACGAGCATTGATGGATAAATCCTCAGCTGTTTCTATTGTGTTCTGACAGCAGCCGCTGACCTCTGTCAGAATTCAATGAACCAAACATTTTCCGACCTGCTCCGTCAATCAGCTGATCAAGGGATGCCGAGTGAAAGGGTGGCGACAGTGGCACCCACACAGTGAATTTGGGCTAGTGTATCAAGAAACGGCTGGAATTCGGATCTTGTATACCGAGCTTAAGTGCTACAACGCTCACCAGAAAGAATCCCTTTGTTTTCAATGGCCCTGAACATTCTGTTGCTTGTAAAAAAAAAACCTGTTGCTCGAAAAAGTACTTGAGCCTCTTTAGGGGCAGAGTCAGGAGTTTTGGCCCCAATAGACTTCAATTGGAGTGCCTGAAGAATGATTGTAAAATGTGCAAATACTGTCCGTGCATTATTCAAGCTTTTTTTTGCCTAGTAACTAGCTTTGCATTGGCTAGAAATAAAATAAAACGCTCAATCCTGAATTTCTTGCCAAAACACCTGAAAAAATGCTAACAAAAAGCCTGATAAAACTCAGCTCTTTGCTTTCAGTTGTTGTAAATCAGCATTTCGATATTCATGTTTGTGTCTTATCCTCAGTGCCAGCTCTCGCTCCGCAGAATGTCCATGTCACCAGAACCGAATCTGGCTTGATGTTAGAATGGGAAGAAATTGCTCTGGGTCTGCAAAACTATACAGTCCTGGGATACAAAGTGCAATGGGAGCAGGAGAATATAACACAAGTAAGAAGTCTCTGTACACTTCATCCTTTTAATGTACACAAGACAAAATGTAATGTAATTACTAAGCTGGAAAATGTTTTAGATGTTTATAACACCTGTCTAGTAAATACACTGCCCTTTGCTTGATCTTATCACATGCAGAACGTTGTGCAAGGTTTTATACGTGAAAACCATGAAAAGTCATTAAATTGTTGTTAAAAATAAGCATTGGACTTGCATCAGTAAACATTTTAGTAATTAATAATTGATTTTGTTTTCATTTCTAAGTTTTTTTAACCTAAGAAGATGGAAGTCTCTCATCTTAAAAGAGAGCTATGGGCCAGCCTTTTTTGGCCATAGTTCTCTTTAGGGTCAAAGGAGGACATGTACTTTGTCTTCATGTGATCCAAAACTCAGCATGCCCGCTATATGCTGTCAGCACAGAGCCCTGCTGTACCTGGAACGGATCCCAACAATATTGTTGGGATCCACCCCACCACCTAATTGACAGCTGGCTCTGTCTCTTTAGAGGCAGAGCCAGCTGTGCCTGCCCCCTCACGTGTCTGTCCCTCCAGTCAGCGCTGGAGGAACAGAGAGGGGATGAATCCCTGTATGTGACTGACAGTCATCACTCTCTGCAGGGAGAAGATCTGGAAGTCAGCGATAAGCAGTATGTGTTCGCTGAGTTCCTGATCAATAGAGCTGATATGTGGCTGTTTCTGTGTCACATGTTGGCTCTAATTATGGGAAGGAGTGTATTTCACTCTCCCCATAATTCTCCTTTTAAAGAGGTCATTCACAGAGATAATTTCAAATCATTTTAGTACAAATACCCATTAAAAACTTCACTGCAGTTGTAAAGGATACATAAAGTTCTAAAAATATATGTAAACAGCAACTTGAACAATGGCCCATCCTCAGCAAACTTCAGAAGTAACAGAAACACTCACAGCGACCAATTTGTACAAATACACTTCCTGGTCCAAAAAAAAGTCACACGCTAATATTTCATTGCACCGCCTTTAGCTTTGATTATAGTACGCATGCACCGCGGCATCATTTCAATAAGCTTATGCAATGTCGCAACGTTTATTTCCATCCAGAGTTGCATTCATTTTTCCCCAGGATCTTTTAGTGATGGTGGGAGAGTTGGGCCTCTGTGTAAAGTCTTCTCCAGCCCATCCCAACACATGTTGGTGTCAGTAAACATTACCTTTTTACTGACTGCTGGGAACAGCTTTCAAGAACCTTTGATTTTAGCTTCAACAAACTACGTTTTTGCCACAATGCAAACACCCCAAATTGTACCCCTGGCACCACATTAATTTTTAATTGTGGATGGTGAGATAAAATTACTGGTGTAAACTATCCTTGGCTTCAAAGGAGGTGTTTATTACTGGTATGTTTCATCACTAGCATACAGAAAATATGCCTTTCTGCATAGAAATGAAATGGCATTTCTAGCTATTAGACAAATACATGAAGGGAGTGATGAATCCAGGGAATTAATTGGATTGTCTTTGATGGGGGAAAATTAGAACATTTTTTCCACTGTAAGATGAAATGGAAACGTTCTCACTGCGGTTTTCCTTTTTTTCTTGTGTAGCGAGATTATTGGAATATGTTAAACTGTTATGGAGTTTGTTCTTTCTTTGAACCTTTCTTATAGTTATAAGGACTTTTGCTGCCTTACCTCTCTTCTTTAAAAAAAATACAACTAATCCAATGCAATAACGCATATAATTGGCCTCCTGCAGGATTTGTTTGTTTTTGTCTATCTCTTGCACTTTTTCTCCAGCCTCTGATTACTTTTAAAGCTTCCTCAATGTCATTTACAGGTATATGTAGTTTCATTGGCCTGCATATACTTCTGGTTTGCATTTATAAATTTCTACAATACTTCTCTTTTGTTCCTTAATAAAAAATGGTTTTACAATTTATTTCCAGGGAGAAGTATTTGTACAGGGAAACCAAGCCAACCTGACGGTCTGGGACCCCAAAAAAGATCTAATCGTGCATGTGTGCGTGGCTAATTCTGCTGGATGTGGACCATGGAGTGACTTTCTTCTTGTAGCTTCTACAGAAGAACCTGGTGAGTAGCGGATGTGTTCGCTTCCTTTTGTATTATACCACATGAACCACTTTTAAAGCTATCTCAAAGAGCCCTCCTAGTTCTTCTTTTTTTTTTTGGACTTCGGAATGATTATCCTTTATGTTGTAAAGATTTGATCGTGGCAGTGGTTGAGTAGTAGACATGTGCACAACAAAAAAAACTGTTTCCAGACTAAACAAATGAAAACGAAAAACGTTTTCATTCGTTTCGTCAAAGGAAACACATTTTTATGTTTCGGATTCGGAGGCAACAAGCCTCCGAATCTGAGACCGCAGAACGAATGGCCATTTCGGCCGCCGGTGCGTTCTGCACATGCGCACCGCCATTTTGGAGTAGATCCCGCATGTTCAAGCGCCGCCATATTGGTGTACACCAAGATCTACTTCAAAATGGTCACCGCTCGTTCAGCGTGTGACGTCACCGTCAAGCGGTCCGCCTCCAAGAGGGGGCGGCAGGCATGCGCAGAACACGCTGGCGGCCAGTATGGCGTGTTCTGAAAGGAAATTTATTTATGCCCGAATGTCGTTTTAGTATATTCGGGCATATATTAAATTCATTATTTCAGATTTGGACGAACCGCCGAATCAACTGATTTTCGTTGATTTGCAGGTTCGTCCGAATCTGAATGCACATGTCTATTGAGTAGTTTAGCAGAAAGCTGTGTACTGTTAGTCCAATTTTGCAAGTTTTTTTAAGGGATAGTAATACATTTTTTTTCTTAGAAGATTGCTTTAACTGATGTCAAATGCAGTTCAAAGGTCACACCTTTCATCTATATATGAATGAATGCGTAAATACAATGGAGGATGTATATCAATGTATTCCCATTAGCAGTATCTTTTAAATAGTCGCATCCATGATTTGGAGGGTTTTTAAGGTTGCAATTGCTGCACAGTTGAAAAATGATGCGAAATGTCGCAAAACATTGCAGTGAGTCGCAAATATGAATACATCCCAAGAACACTTAAAAAAAGGCACAGAAAAAATACAAGAAAGATAAAACGTTTTGGTTAGTTAGCAGCTAAAATTTTAGTTTCAAAAACGTTCATTGCAAAAACATTGAGGGTATTTATCAAACCTGGAGCAGCTGTGCATAACAACCAATCAGCTTCTCTCTTCAGTTTGTTCAGTTAAGATTTGAAAATGAAAGAGAGAAGATGATTGGTTGCCATGCACAGCTGCTCCAGAATTTGCCTGCTCCAGTATTGATAAATTCCCCTCATTGTCTCATATTGCCTTCCTATGATGTCGGCTCTGGGATGACAGTGTTGTCTTAGTCTAGCTCAGGAGGAGATCAATTACTTGTTTTTATGAACATGTTTTATGATGTGGGTGAATTATTATAGATACTTTAAGACAGTAATTGTATTGTATTACATATGTTGTCTCTAGTGGAGTCATAATAAATGTGATATTTGTTGTGGCTTGGTTATATCGATCTGTACTTACAAATCTGGATCATTCCTGAGAGACCAGTGAATGAATATTTTCCGGTGTCACCTAGTGACGAGAAGCATGGAGACGGTGTCCCTGTTAATCAGGAAGCCGGGTGGCGAGTCTTTACACACCGCCCGACTAATCAGGAAGCAGCGTGTAATGACTCGCTGCCCGGCTTCCTGACTGGTCGGGAAGCTGGCACCTTGTGACGAGGGAGCATGGAGCCGGCTTCCCGGCCAATCAGGAAGCTGGGTGCCGCGTCATTACGAGACGAGAAGTATGGAGACGGCGTCCCTGCTAATCAGGAAGCCGGGTGGCGAGTCTTTACACACCGTCCGGCTAATCAGGAAACCAGGTGACGAGTCATAACACACTGCCTTGCTTCCTTATTAGGACTTCCGTTACCGGTATTGGCGTGTACCGAAAAAAAGATCGGTACTCGATACCGCAAAAACGGTATCGGTGCACCCCTAGTAGAAACTATTGAAGCTAGAGGATCAGCATGACAGGCAGGGAACTGACATTGTAAGAAGGTCAACAATGGCAAACCTGTATTTATCTTATGAAACGTGTCTATGAAATGAAATTAATGGTAAAAGCCGCGCTGTGTGAATGAGACCGCAAAGTGTCAGATATAGTAGATGCTGACCTTGGAGTAATGTGATACAATGTGTAAAAAGTGCAAAACAAAAAAGAAACGCATGTATATAACATGCACCTTAGTGTAAATGTAATTGCTACAAAATATCCATAATGAAAAATCAAATGCACTAAATATTAACTGTGAATCAATGTGATGCAATGTGCAAAGAATACCGACAAGAAAAACGCATGTGTGTAACTTGCACTCCAGTGAAAATAATAAATGGTTAAAAAATGTCCATGATCCTGGATCTTCAATAGTCCATTAAGTAAACAGAAGATAAAACATTGGATGTAGAATAAACTTAGTCTCCTGTGACCATCAACAAAGAAATCTTCTGGAATGCACCTCACCTTTAGCAGAGACCCACCAGGGTCTGTATGCGCTGTTCCTCTAATTCAAAACAGGTAGAGGAAGCACCTGATGCCGAATACCTCCGAGTGATTACCTCCTCTCAGGTACAGACTCTCTTGCAGTCTCAGGAGTTGGAAACAGACAGTTCATCCGAATGGCCCATGCATCAAATAAAATAAAAAGTGGAAACTCGTAGTGCAGATGGTTTTAAAAGGATACTAGACTTTATTAAAAAAAGGGGAATACTACTCACAAATCATAGATAAAATTGAGGTATTTTGTAAGCAGCCACAGACACTGTGTGCAAATCGCTCAGCTCCTCTACTCCACCCTACGTACGTTACGTCAAAGGGCGTGACTTCATCAGGGGTGTGGAGACAGGAGCTTAACTGAGCGCATATATTAAGACCAGTTGTCATGGTAGCCACCATAAACAAATGGCGGCCATGACATTTTGAAAATTAAAACACCAAACTGAACATGTTATAACTGAAAATAATATACAAAAAAGTGATTGACACTGTGGCAGTTATTACCCTTCATCCAGCTAAGTGTGTCTATGAAATGAATTCTGGACAACCGGTTTTAAAAGAATGCATAAGGGTGGGTACAGGGCATTGTATACCAGAATCTGCCTGAAACTTCAAGGGTTAACTCGTTATTTTTCCCCAAAATTAATCCCTTGGAAGCTTAACTTGCATTAATGGAAAACAGCACAGTTTGCGTCATTTGGTTTAATTATTTTTAATCTGAAGATGAACGAGTTTTATATTGTCCTTTTTTTTTCTTGTTTTTGTAGTCCGTCCTGAACAGTTTACATTTATTTCAATGAAGTTGATTGTGTGAGCTGTGACTTGATGAGTTATCCAGAAATAACTCCCCGGCAGCCTGCTAGGCTTTACATTTCTTTTGTGGCCAATTTGGCTGGTGACTGGTATAAGCACATAAAAGTTGCACTCATGTACGCACCTAACAGTTCTATTCATGGTATCCTAATAGTGATTATTCAAAACGTTGAGTGGGCAGTTGATTCGTGTACCACATTCAGCCTGGCCCAACCCTCACAGACGTCTTTCTTGATGCTCATCTCCTGACGCTTTTGTCGAAATCACCGCCTTTCCCAAATTCTTTCATAGTCACTATGTCGCCCCCACAACACATCTTATCTCTTGTTCATACTGTTTGGATTACTTTAGAAACAGAAAAGCCTACAGCCTTCCTATGGCTGCAGTAAATGGATAATATGTGTATATTTATGAATATAAAATATAGAAGTGTTATGTATATTTAGAATACTGCTGTGCTATTCAGACAGTACTTGCCTGTACCTATCGTTAAAGGCAGTGTATGTATCTATGTTTTTAGATATAAATGTCAAAATGATCAGCTGGATGTAAATAATCTTACCAATCTGCCTTTATCGTTTAAAAATAACAATGATATATATAGAAAAAAGTAAATTATATTTGTGGGTTGGGGCAGCCATATGTGACTTTGCTTTACAGCACTACACAAGGGTTGTGCTTTGCTGCTCCTTCTCACAGTGCAAGGCTGGGAGTTGGCTGACTTATTAAAAAAAAATTGCACCCTCTGCATTACTTATTTCTTATCTTGTACTCTCTAAAATGTACTCTTCCCAATACTTAATGCCGGCATGGAAGACTGCAGCTGGCACATGTCGGCTCTATATACCGAGAGTTGAGCGATCATGTAACCGCTGGTTCATCAGTTTATTATCTACCTGCAGAGAGCGGTGACTATCAGTCCCGATTCCTTCCTCTACTCTCTATTTCTCCTGCACTCATTGGAGGGACAAGCAGAGGAGGGGGTGGGCAACGCTGGCTCTAGAGGGGCAGAGCCAGCTGTCAGACAGCCGGGTGGATCTTGACAATATTGTCGGAATCCTTCCCGTCTGCAGCAAGGCTGTGTGTATCAGCATATAACAGGCAGAAGCCTGACTTGAGGTATGCTGACTTGGGGTCACTGGAGTACATTAGCGTATTTACTCCTGTGACCCAAAAGAGAAGTAAAGCTACAAAAAATTTTGCTTCCCATTTAACGGTTAATAAAGCGGACCTTTATCCATATCGTTAAAATAACAAACAGCCCTTTAGAAATGTTCAGTAATGACAATCTACAGACACATACTTCTAGATAATTGGCTTTTTTGTATTCTTTGCATACCTTATTTTTCTTTTATTCCCCAGTCTTCTGACAGTGGCCATGTTTACTAAGGGCAGATTACTAGCTCTCCATTTATTTCCTGGATTTCTGGCACATGTGACTAGACATGTGACCGTGCACATCATCTCAGGGGAGGAAAATGCCTTTCCCTGAGATCTCATGAGATTACAGATGAGATTTCCCAGCAATGCTCTGCTAATGACAAGGCAAGCCCAGTGTGCATTGCTTTACCAAACTGAAGTCATTTTGCCCTTTCAAAGCAGGAATTGAATGCTCTGCAAGTGTAAGTATTTCAAAATCACAGCATTTTACACATGACATGTCTATGCTATTATTAATCATCATACATAGAGGAATGCATTGTTAGAATTTTATTTTTGAGTCTAAAAGTCCGCTTTAAAGTTCATCTAAATTCTCTAGTTTGCTTCCTCTTATTTTTAAGGCAAATTGGCATGTTTAACGGCTTAAAGTAAATAGTAATAAGGTCAGGGCGTTTTTTACCTTATTGCATTCTCTGCATTCTGGTAAAAACTGCCCAGAACCTTTCTCTCCCCCAGTCGCGCTCCCTCGCCCATAGGCTCCTTCTGCCATCAATCAAAGAGAGAAGGGGAGAGGCCTGCCACCGTGCTGTGTGTGTCTATGGATGCACACAGCCACTGCAGGCACGAGCGAGCACGGGTGCCTCCATTAGAACAATGGTGGCACCCGTACAGGGGGTGGGGGAAGAACGCTGCGGGGACCCCCTTGAAAATGAGGAATGAAAAGATTTTAAAGAAAAACAGCCTCAGGCAAAGGTGGGCATCCCTATAGCTAATATTCGAAAAAGGAGGGTTTAATATTGCTTTAGGTAGTGTAATTTACCTTTTTTTTATTATTTTGTTAATGGTAAATGCAACTGGGGAATTTCTCATGCACCTCGTTAGAAAGTGCTGGGATTGGGGTTGGGGGCAGGGCTTTTACATAATTTCTCTAAGATGTGATGACTGTGTATGACCACAGTGCGGTTGGACGCGTGGCAAACCATTGCCTGTGTTCCAGTGCAATGCAAATGCAAAAAATGCTGCATGCTCTATTTTTTGTGTTTGCAGTGGACCGGAACACAGGCAATGTTTTGCCACGCGTCCGATTGCACTGCAGGCGGGGGGACGTGGCTGTGGTGCCATTGACTTCGCCCCAGAACGAAAGGGGAAGTTTTGTGAGCGATTGCTGTGCGTTCCAGCAGCTACCGCTCTGGAACGCATCGCAAATTGGTGTGAATGGGCCCTGAAGGAAGGGCAGTGTCAGCATTAATCCAGAGATGATTTGAGGATCTACAGCTGATGATTTGAGGATCTACAGAGTGATGCACAAACAAGATACATTTTTGTAATTAGTTATGGTATTTGAATTCCTATTTTAAGGTTTAACCCCTGAGTTTAGTGTCCCTTAAATATAAGCTGCTGTGGAGGTTTGTATTAAATTGATTAAAACACTAGTTCATGGCACTTTGGGATCCTTTTATGCTATGTATCATAAAGTTATACTCCAATCAGTAGTATGCTAAAAGGGAGGCCAAAGGGTTATTCCCTACCACCAGATAAGCAAGGTGAAACAATTCTAATCTCATTGAACAATGTGACAACCAAGGTCATTAAAACTCAGTAAAAAAATACCATGTATATGTCAACTCAGATAAAAATCAGCAGTTTAACGTTATAGAACGCGGTCAAACAGTGCTGTGGAATACTGAAAACCAGGTGTGAAAGGCTGGTTCCAGTGTACTGTGCCTTGTTGCTGCTGCACACTCTTGCCTAGAGCAAAATAAAAGGGAAAAAGTCACAATGGCATATTGCAATACAATTCTGACAATTTATTGAGTAAAGTAAACAAAAAAAATGTACCTTCAAAGTTGGGCAGTAAAAAAAAACATATCCAAAGTCCCAGAAGATCGTCCGATGGCACCAACCATGGCCAGCAGCTGGCAGTCCAGAATTCAGAGTGGAAAACATGGGCACCTTGATTGTTTCCAGGGATATAGCTCTACCTTCTCTTGCTACCATGTCCTGTGTTGCTAGGAACACTTTTTGCTCAGGAAATCATCCCCTTCATCATAGGAAAAGCACAGGTTCACTTTAAGAAGCAGATTTTTTTATTTCTAGTACCTGAACACATCTAAAATATTAATATTCTCTTTACACAGATCGGCAACGAAATCCACATACTAGAATGTCTTGGGTCCCCCTGGTCTTGGGTATTCTCACTGCTTTAGTCACAGTTGTGGCTATGACTTTAATCTTTCTGAGAAAGAGAAGAAAGGAAACAAGATTTGGGTGAGTACTCTATATATGATTTCCAGTCGTCAGGATGGGAATTGTAATCCCTGTTTTAGGATATCCACAAAATGTTAAGTTTATTGCTATAGTAACAAGTTGCTGATATTTATTATATGATAATGTGTTGATATTTAAACTGTCAAAATGTTACGTAGCTTTGTAGAGTATTGTAAGTTAAACATAATCACTTTCTGTATCATCCATTGACTGACACAGCATTTCATATTTACAAACCAGGGGTTATGGTGCTGCCTACAGGGGGTTGGACACTAGGGCAAAAAAAAGAGGCCAGCCCCTAGGGGTCATAACCCCCTCCTTTAACTCTCATACTTAGTTTCACTTAGGGCCCATTCACACGGCTGCAGACAGCCATAGACAGTCAAAAAGGACATATTCCAGTGCCTGAAAGTCAAAGGTGTTTGCTTACAATTCATGACAGGCCAAAGCTGTATGCACGTCCAAATGGTTACATCCCTGAAGGGAGGGATAAATGGCCCTGGATGCAAACTGTCTTCCATTTTGACAGTGTACAACTCTCTGTGGCCGTGTGAATGAGCCCTTAGTGTCCTCAAGGAGGTTGGATGTCATTCTCTGCTTTGCTTTTTGCTCAGGTCGAGGACTTCTGTCCTAATGTTGTCCTGGTATGTTCTGCCCGAAACATACTCCCTTCATACCAGGGTTCCTTCTACCAGGCACTGGGTGATTTCTTAAACCATAGACTTTAGACCTCTCTGTCAGGGCTGTTTGGTTATGCCTGGGCCTTGGCCAGTTTTCCACCCAGTTTGTAGTGGGTACTGTCAGCGGATGCTAGTTGGCTGCAGGTGGGTTCTCTTATATTTGGGAGCTCTTATATTTGGCTGTTGGGTTCTGTTTGAGCCTGCGGTTGTTATTGTTCACCCCTTTTTTTGTGTTCTTTTACATACTTAAAAACTGAAGAGCTCTAAGCATTACGGCTTGTTTTGGGTACTGTAATTTTTCGCAGTGGCACAGCCGCATACAATTTTAAAGCTTGACATATTTATTATCTATTTACTCGATGCAACCTCATTGTGTTTGTGTGCACTAAGACTAATTTGAGTTTATTTCTTACTGGAGATATAAGATTTTGAATTAATATGCTGAACTAATTATAAAATAAGAAAAACATTATTGTGTTTTGAGTTACTAAGCAACCCTCCCTTTAAGTAGAGTGTGGAAGAATTAGAATTAGGCTTTTAATACAGTTAAGTTTCTTCATTTTGTCTAGCAGGACAATAAGTGAAGTAAAAACTGCTCACTGGGGAGTAGGGCTGCAACTAGTGATTATTTTAATAATTGATTAGTTGGCCGATTTTATTTTTTTCAATTGGATAAAAAAATGAAATAAATAACATCCGTAATTTAAAATAAAATACACAAATGCAATGCCACATACAGAAAGTTTACCTCAGAATAAAACTGCATGAACAATTTTTTGCGTTTGCGCTGCACTGGAACGCACGGCTTTGTGGAATGTGCGTTCCAGTGCGGGTGATCACACTATAGGTGGGAGGCACGTTTGGGATGCCATTAAAATGAATGTCACTGCAACGCACCTCCCGCAACAGAATTTGTCGGCTGAAAATAATTTTTTTCCCCATAATTTTTCTTTTTAATAATTGTATTGTAAGCACATGGCACTTGAATAGCTTCAGCCAGGGTATGACGGCTGCCAGTGGCAAGATTCCGCAGATGGCAGATGAGTGTAAATACAGCAGGTAGTGGGCGGGTGCAATAGCCAGCCTGCTATTGGCCGTTTCAAATTGCAATATCCAATAGCAGGCTGGCTGTTGCGCCCGCCCACTGCTTGCTGTGCCCTCCTTCCAGCATGGAGGAGAGAGCTAGGGGATCCAACTAATCGATAATGAGAATAGTTGACAACTATTCCCATTATTGATTATTATCGATTAGTTGGTTGCTGCCCTATTGGGGAGACAGACAGCAACAGAAACTTCACCATGGTTCGAATCCTTTCCTACTTTATCTAAAACCACAACATGAGACATGGTTGGTCCATGAAGAGAACCATAATAACTTTGTGTACATACTGTAGTTTTCATGTATGACGTACAATTCACACACTTCCTAAGAATGATAATGCGTCTATGTGGAGAAAGGAGCACCGAGACAAGCCAGGACATGTCTGCTGCTTCTCTCCATTGTAGCCTCTCCAGAACAAAGGACACATGAGGGTAGGGGGTTAGTTGCTCAGCAACAGCCTGTGTACTCCCCCTTCCCTCCCCTCTCATGCCGGCTCCTCCCGGGACCTTTGTAAGTGTTGGTGGGAAGGCTGCATGCTCTCTTCCTCGCTGACTGGTGAACTAGAGGCTGCGCTGAGGCCGGTCTCTGTCTGTGGATTCAAAAGGATACGGACTTAACCCTGTCTGTTCTGCTCCACTGCTGCTGTGAGGCCTGCTGGGATCTGTTGTTCTACCCTTACTGGATGTACTCACACGGTGCCTTGTTACCTGTTGGATTACCTCTTGCTGCACCTCTGACCCCTGGACTACTAGCATTGTGACTCTGGATCTATTCCTTCCTTGGCCCGTTGCCTACTTTCTGGGTGGACCCTCCCCGTGGCCTGCAACCCACCAGGACCTAACCCCGGCCTTTGTACCTTGCTTTGTATACCTGAATTCCCCAATAAACACCCCGCACGCGGGGTTCTGTGTGATTTGCCTCTGTGTATTCTCTCTGCGCTCCTAGTTCGTCACAGTCTACTATGTACTTACATTTTGCTCACTGAAATGTATAATTTTTTGGAATAGATCATTCCTGGTGATGAAATGTGTAGTTGGAACGGACCAGCTATTTCTGACTCATATATACATAATTTATAAGTTCCTCCTAAATTGGTTGGCTTCATTTTTCTGACTGATACAGCTTCCAAAATGGCTGTATTCCACGATAATGGGAAAACTCGACAGGAAAAATAATACACTAAGGGGATACCACGCACTGGTTCACAAAACCAAATTACAATGCAAGCTTGCAAGACCACATGGTTAGATTAGATGTGCCATCTTTATAGAGAACCTGTCGCCAGACTACTCATTTCAACAGAAATCTTCTGATTATGTTACATGTGCATTTAATGTAGTTTATGCTGTAAAGGCTCCCTTGTGTAGACATCCAAAAGCCTTGAGTCTGCTTCTAGGTGTCTCCATCTTGGATGTGAGGTCAGCTGCTCCAGCAGACTCCAAGCTGTCATTCTAGTGACACTATAGTACTTACCTAGCAGCTAAATAAAAGGTTACGTAGATGGGCGAGTAGAGGAGCTGGGCCAGCATAGAGAGTATTCACTCCCAGAAATTGAGATAGCTACGACATGCAAGCAGGGCCGGATCTACTTTCTCCGGTATCTGCAGATGTCTTTGCACACGCTTTATTTGCAGAATACCCCTGTACCATAAAATCTGAGACACTCTATTATTTAAAATAGCAGCAAATTCTTTCATTAGCATGCTGCATCCTGCTCCTTGCTATCCATGGCTACAAAGTGTGATGGGTGAGCTCAGTGGACAACAGGCAGCCAAGGAGCGTATTAGGGGCAGGTTACTTTAAGACCATGATCAGGGAAGGATTTAGTCTCTCTGCTGCCCCAGGGCCAGGTTCCTCAATGCGCCCCCCTACCTGCCAAACCCCCCAATGGAGAATGGCAGACCTGCAGGTTGCATACAAGTGATCTTGGCAACATCGCTGAGATCACTTGTACAACACAAGCGGCGCCTTCCTTCCCCTTAGCTCTGCTTGCCCAAAGCAGGGCTAAATGTAGAAAACAACTACATGTCCCGGGAGTCGGAAGACAGGAATTCTACACCCGCTGCTGCCCCTCTACTCCCTGCTGCCCCAAGGCCGGGCCTTGTGGGAAATCCAGCCCTGACCATAACACATCTGGTCACCGTTTACTTATTTAAAGCCCCTCAGATTAAAAATATTGGGTTCTTTTACAAAATAAACCTGAAGCTACCTGCACTCTTTTCTCCAGGTGTTACCCAACTATCCAGGCAATAGGATTATTTGGGATGTTCTGTTTGTTTTTCAGGAAAGCCTTTGTGCATGGCCATGTCCAGGTTTTATACAGTGTTCTGCACCATTTTTAAAAGGATCTAAAACATATTTTAATTAAAATTTTTAATTGAGGTGTAAATAACATTATTTCCACAGGCATATGTTTGGCTCTGTGTTGGGTCGAGGAGGTCCCGCTATCCAGTTTACGGCAGCCAGGTCATTTAATAGGAGAGGTACGGAGGTGCTGGAAGCAACATGTAAGTGAATATGTGCTTTTTTTTTAATTTGGGTAGTTTACACAGCTCTCTCTTATTTTCTGCTGGGACGAATAAGTCAATTTCAAATGCAATTTGCACTCCAAGCAGGGTGTCAATTGCAACTGATTGAACAACTCTGGCAGTAGGAGGTACACTGTAGTTCTGCTTCTTGAGGATTGCGATCTATGAAGGCTTTCCATTATTACAGTTATTCTTTAACAAAAGGATCCACCACCTACACACAACACTCAGGCACAGTATATAACTTACCACGTGTTACACTGACCACGTGTCACATACTGTGAACTAACTTCTGTGATCATGAAGCGTCTTGGGAATGTGACTAGCCCATTTACTAGCACAGGCCGTGCGCGCTGTTTTAAAATCCTTGCTCATCACTTAAAAAGTTCCTGCATTAAAGAGACCCTGTCACCAGTCCATTCATTTTAACAATAATCTTCTCTTAGTCACTTGTCTACCAGTGGCTAATACCAGTGGCTGGTAGCAAGGGTTTTTAAACAGACTATAGCAGCTGAGAGTGTGTTTTAAATCTTGAAAGCCAACTTTTTAGTTGAAAGGGATTCATTACTTCCCATAAGTGCCATAGAGGGGGATGGAAAAGCTGGGTCAGCACAGAGAGTAATCGGACACTCCAAGAAGAGGGCAATAAAGTGCAAAGATGAAGAGGGCTGTGCTAGGGAGTTGACTTTTACTGTAGTTGTCAAATTTTCTTGCAAGTTGACCAGCAAGTAAATACAACATAATTTATGTAAATGAAAATCACTGGATGTAAAAATTTTACATACTTGATTTTTCTGTGCTTTTACCTGCAAGTTTGTAAGTTGGTGACAGGGTTTCTTTATAAATAGCTCCATAATATTTGCTCTGAATGTGAATATATACTGAAATGTATTAAACAATGTCACAGTTATTGCACTTTTCACATCAGCTTCCAGTGGTGCTGTGCAAGGATTTTACTTCTGTACCTCTTATGCACACCTGGTTGTGCCCACACACAGACCAGTCTTTGCAAGTGATGCAGATGATTTGAGCATAAAGCTCAATTCACAAAATGTATTTACCAGAACAGTTATTTTTTTACCAATAAAAGCTAATGAGAGTTAAAAATAATCAATTGTCTCCAAATATTGATTATGATGGCTAGGGATATACCGATACTAGTATTGATGCCAATACCGAGTACTCGTACTCGTCCGATACCTTCCCTGATACCAAAACTTCCGGTCAGAAGGAAATTACCTCTGACCGGCAGTGCCACAAGGGAACATAGGGGTTGGCTTCCCGGCCAATCAGGAAGCCGGGCGGCGGGTAATGCCACCGGGCATCCTGATTCCATTCTGTTTGGCTTCCCGGCCAATCAGCATCGATCCGGCCAAACAGCATGGAGCTGGCTTCCCGGCCAATCAGGAAGCTGGGCGGCTAATAATGACACCCCGTCAGGCTTTCTGATTGCCCGGGAAGCCGGCCCCATGCTAGCAGAAGTACCATTATCGGCGAGTACTGAAACATAAATATCGGTACTCGATACCAAAAAACATTATCAGTGCTACCCTAATTATGGCTAATTCCATATTGGAACACTTGTTTTTATCTGTAAATCCTCACACTTGTTGGAATATCTGGGTGTGAGTGGGTGCCAATTTTTCTCTCTTCTATGGAGAACGGGGAATATTTTCACCATGTGTGCTCTGCTAGCACTCAACTGAAAGCATTGTGGCAGGTTCCTATGGTGCTTCAGTACAGTGGTGGATTATATCTCCCCAGTAGTTTTGGTGAGGCATTTGTCCATTAATGGCCATCCTATGGATCAGCTCAGACCAATAATAATTAATAGAACAACATTTTATTTCTAGTGGCTTATCTTGTAATTGATTTCCTGTCAACAGTCTTTAAAGTAAACTTATGGTTTGCCCATACAGGGCATCAGGTTTACTTTAACACTGGCCCCAACAGGTCTTATGCTTACCTTCTGTTCACTCCATAACTTCTCCATTCACTGCCAAGAGCAAGAGGAGGAGAATGCCCTGGCTTCTGGCACTTCCACGCGATAGCAGGAGACGCCACTGTGTTTCACTGCTGCCTCTTGGGATAGTTGGCTGCTTGACATCCCGTGAGAATATTTTCCTACAATGTGCTTGAATGCATTCTCATGGGTCTTTGAGTGCCCAGCTATCCCAGGATCCAGCGGTAAGGCACAGTGATGTCAGCCTAGCCTCTTGGAAAGCGTTTTCTAAAAATAGTTTTTGCAGTTGATTTGACTTTGGGGGGTGGGGGTTTAGTAGAGAAGACCTTTTCTTTTCATGGAATGTGCACTCTATATACATTCTAATATAGTCAAGTAATGCTTGGTTACAGCCCAACTCCAATCCAATTTTGTTTTCTTTTCCAGAGTGGGGAAGGGTTTATATTGCTGTTTCTATAGCCATTTGGCCAGTCTTCCCTTACATGCCTGTGTAGTCACTGATGCAAGTAGTGACCAGAATTTCTCCACTTGGGATACAAACAGTAATAAAAGATTTTAAGTACCTTGCACTGTAATCGTTACTTTTTGTAACTCTCTGTCTTGAAAAAAATCTTTATTAAAAATATTGTGAAAGAAAAGATTTTAAGTAGATTAAGAAAAGCAAAAACCCTTTTTTTTTATTGATTTCCATCTTCCTGTTAGGAAGATCTCCTCACTTCCTGTTTAGTTACCCAACCAGGAAGTAAGTTGAAACCTCCCCAGCAGGTGAAATATTTTGCCAGCACACCTTTGATCCAGTAAAGTCCAAGTTGTTATTTAAATGTCAAAACAATCACATCATCAACGTATGATGTGATTGTTTTGTTGATTATACTGTATTTTAATTTTGTAAAGGGTGGTTCCAGTTAGGAGTACAGATGGCAAAAAGTTGAAAGAAAAACCTGAGAGAGACTATAACCCTTTCGCTGAAGTTGGGCTTTTCAGTGGCAAGGCTGATATTAAAATGTATTGATGGTATTAGTCTTTTCTTACTATTGAAATATTTGTGTGTGTTTTTATGTTTGTTTAGTATTAAAATATTCATGTTCATTTGCTGACTCTACAGTGGACAGCATTGGGATTAGTGATGAGTTGAAATCAAAGCTTACAGACGTCCTCATCCAGCAGCAGCAGTTTACCTTGGGAAGGACATTAGGAAAAGGTAGGTGAGAAGGAATGAGCTCTCCCAGACTGAAAATTGTTTTCTAAAATGTTTCTTTCCACCTAACTGAAATTTCCTGTTCACTTTAGGAGAGTTTGGCTCTGTAAGAGAGGCTCAATTAAAGATGGAGGATGGTTCGCTTCAGAAGGTCGCTGTGAAGATGCTGAAGAGTAAGTCTTATATACTGTATAGAGATCAATAGCCCTGAGTGATGGAATCTTTGCACTATAGTGTTTATGTTCAGGACCCAAAAACAATAATGTCATATATTGCAGTTTACCAGTTCTTCCATGTGGTGGCTGCATTTGTTTTCAGGTATTTTCCCCTCATTTTTACCTGGTCATGCTGCAAACAACACACTTCCTGTCTCATGTCTACGCTTATTTCCTCCAGTGTATCTCTGGGGGCAACCATGGCTTTTACACAGGGTGAATGCGTCTGCCTTTGTTAAGCTCCATTGTGGTGGTATGATTGGACTAGTAGTTTAAACAAATACTTGTTTTTGTATGAAGTGACATAGACATGGCATTTATGGATCAAAGATCAAAAGGTAATTTCTGTACTTGCTCTAATGTTGTTATCCTGAACAATTAATGCAGCCACCACATCTAAGTACTGGTAAGCTGCAATATATTGATTATTTTGTTTTTGAGTTTACATATCCTTTAGGAATATAAACTGAATAAAATCCCAGTCTCTTCTACAGTGGTCAAAGGTTATAGCTTTATGTAATTTTGCAGCCAAATAGTTCAGAAAATGCCTTTTCTTAAAAATGAAATATTGTAATACAGTTTAAAATACATACATAGTTTTTGTTAAATTAGTTTTGGTAGTTCTAACTGTAATATTAAGTACCAAAATGCTGTGATCTTCTTCTTTTTTTATGGAATTACACAGACATGGCTTTTAATAATGTGCTTTTCCTCTCATCCCACTGTTAAGATACCAGGAGAGTCACTGTTTGGAGGGGTAATTTTACATTTTACGGCTAAGATTATGTTTTAGGGGGTTTGTTAAGCAGGGGAAGAGTTAAGGGCTCACTTTAGGAGTTGGAGATTAAAATAGAATTCCAGTCACAAATTGTATTAACCCTTCCAGTGGGGCTACCCCTGCACTGCAAGGGTTAGCTGCTCGTTTTTTGTCGAGGTTAAAAAAAGGTATATTCACCTGACCCTCAGAGCTGGCCGGCTGCAGTGATGGACTGTCCCTCTGCGTCCTCATATCTGTCCCCTAATATAATTAAAAACCTTTTATTTGCAAGTTTTTCCTGTTCATCGTTGGCAAAATAAAAAAACTTCCTGTGTATGACTATTAGTCCCTATGTGGCTCATCAGATTTTCAAAAAGCCTGTTTTTATAAGTAACTTGTCAGTTTTGTATATGCGTGTATAATATATCTATAGATATATAGATATATATCATTTCCACTTTTGCAGCCAAATTTTAGAAAACCCCTTCTAGACATTTGTTATGTGTTTCCACAGCATACCTAAAGAATTTTTTTTTTATATATTTCTTACTTTTTTGTTGTATCTAAGTAGATGACCTTTTCAAGCTTCTCTCTCAGTTTCAACCGGAAACTCTGATTGTCCTAATTGAAAGACTTAGGACAGACTCGGCTCCCGCTCATTAGCATACACTATCCTCAACTCTTTAATCCATTGTTAGGACAGACAGTCCTGTTCATCTTGTTTACAAGTGATGATGAACTCTGCCAGTACAGTAAATACAGAGTTAATTATTTGAAACAAAGCTTCCCCCCCAGACAGTGAGAACTAAGCAGGTTTTCGCAGTCCTTGAAGTAGCAGAAAGAACATCTGCAAAGGGTAAGCTACAATTTGTATTTTCTTTATATTTTTTTTCAGTTCTGCTATGTGAATGGGAACGTGCAACAAATATAAAGTAGGTTCTATTTCAATGTGGCTGCAAAAGTGGAAATACACTTTAATTACCTACTGAACTTGCTACTATGTAAGACCCTGACCCACATAGTCAAAACTTCCAACTTGCATATTTGTTCCAGGTCAGTGACTTGCAAAGTACAGAACATGCAACCTCAGCACAGGCTACTTCCCTATTTCTGTCACAACAGGTTCTCTTTAACACATGCCAAATTGCATGAGAGCTGCCATTGTGAGACTGAGCAGTTCGGAATAAGGTATAATAAGTGGTTAATAAGACCCATACCAGCTCCAGAAACTGCTAAGCATGCCTCCATCCTGCTGTAGGCACAAAATTTGAGAGCAGATGAGTGAAGGTCATTATGTGCAGGTCTTTAAGGGAGGTCTTTAAACCATTGCTGGCATCTACATCATAAAAACCTTGTTAGATGTGATTCCAATAGACAAGCACAGATTTCAGTTCCAGCACAGATATAATGAGCCTTCCGGATTCTAATTTCAGAGCTTGTTCCTCCGCACTTCTCGCCTCTTCTAACATTTCTCCCTTTCTCCTGCCAGCGGAAATTTTCTGCTCCAGCGATATTGAAGAATTCTTAAGAGAAGCTGCTTTCATGAAAGAATTTGACCATCTGAATGTCTGCAAATTAATAGGTAAAAAAAAAAGAAGATGTTTGACACATCTCTTCTATGCACTGCTCGCTCTGGTAATTGTAGCATTGCAAAAGTTTTCTTATTTTGGGATATGTCTAAAAGTTTTACATTTGCAACTTTTGTATGTATAGTTTTTTATTATAAATTTTTCCTAATGCAGGATCCTTGCTCATAATTGGCACTGTCTTATAGATGTTAGAGAAATTCAGGTTTATCCAGTCAGGCAGAGGTGCAAAGGGTGGTGATCCACAGAGCTTAAACAGAGATGATTCTTCACTGACAAGATGACAGTGAGCTAAATTATAATTGACTATTATGGATTAGTGTATGGTGGACCTTAGCTTAGCTCTTTGTACTTCTATACTGAACCAGCCCAGTTTAGGTCCCTCCAGAGAGGTAAGTGACTATGTACATGTATTCATAGCAAACAACCAGGAATCATACTAGGTAGGGATGGGTATGGAATAACTTTTTCTAGGTAGGTATCCTGGTTAGACATTGAATCCAGTGTGGCGGAAATTATTCCCTTAGACAGGTCTCCAAAGCACAAGGTCAGCTACTGTCTCAGATCAACCTAAAGTACCAGGAGGAAAGTGGAAAGCCATCTATATAAAATCTTATAAAGATTTTTAGTAAAAGATGTGTTCAATAAAAACCTGACATGTTTCAAGGGCTCAGAAGGTCCCCCTTCATCAGGGCTTCAAAAGATTGAATAAAAAGTACAATAAATATATCAGCTAATTTGTTCACATTGGGATATAATTATTTCAATATTTAATAAGTTTCACTAACCCAATGGGAACTATTTTAATCTCTTATAGCACTGATAAATGGGAACCATTGGAGGCCCTGAAATGCATTGGTGTGTTCTAAGACAACTTTCAATAAAAATCTTTTCTGGACTTTATATAACAGAGTATGTCATTATTGATTGTCATTATTGATTGTCTTCATAAGTCTTTTAACAGCTAATGCAAAGATGAGTAAGATAGAATTCCAGTTTTCATCTTTTAAACCGACAGATACACACGTTTGAAAGAAAGCCAGTCTGTGTTGCCTCTATCAACTGATAAAGTTCCTCCCTAAAAAAAAAATGTAAAATAAATCCCGGGAACAGCCAAAATAGTGTTGGTTGTTTTGGACAGAGTGGGAAGGGTTGGAACTTCTGTTGAGATTTTATTTCTTGTGTTCCCATTGGGGGGATTCATCTTCTTCCATCTTAATACAGGGTTGGTGCCTATAGGCAACAGAAGCAAAAAGAAAGCTTTCCTCTGTATAGTTATCTACCACATTTTATTTCCTCTGATCAACAGAAGTGCATTCATCTCTTGTAAGATGATTTACATATTGTCATAAAGTGTTTTAGCTAGGTTAGCACCTATAAAACAAATTTTTTTTATTTGTAAACGAAAGGGTTGTAGTAAAAGGAGGTTTCTTTGGGAGCCAAAGTTTGTGTGCCTACAGTCTTCAGGGAGGAAATCCTTACCAAGAAAAAAAGCATCAATACAGTAGGAAAAGGTTAGAAGGTAAAGTATTTTCATTTCCATCTGTGCCTTCCTGTGCTGGTGATCCTTGGTACTTTCATTTCATGCCCTGGCAAGTAGGAACTTTCCTAGTTCCCTAAAACCTGCTGGTTTTTTTTTTTACTTTCTTTTATTTTTTTTTTATCCTTAAAGCAATATACATAAACTTGAGACACACTGAAGAACATTTTCACCATTGTACAGAAGGAAGAATAGGAGGTACAATTCTGTGTACTCAATAAGATAGTTGAACAACAAAAAACAGACAGATTTTTGGTGTCTTTTTGTTAATCAGGAAGGTAACCCTGACTGAACTTTTAATTCTTCCCCCGCTGTTCTGAAAACCAAAATAATTTGGCTGGAAACCAGTTAGACTCTCCTGTAGACTGACAACATATATTTGTGTTGTTAAAATGAGCAGATGCCCACATCCTTTAGGAAATGCGCTTTTTATGCTCTAATTATGTATTCACAGATAATTTCACATTCCAGAAGGATGTTACTACTTGTGTTATCAAGCTCAAAGATACGCTGCATTTTTAATTTGCTTGGAGATAAGTTTCATGATGTGTCTAGTATAAAAATATTGTTACATTTTGGTATAGGAGATGCATTATATTGGTTTACAAGCTCTGTGCAAAATATACTGAATGGATATTCCTGTTCCTGGACCATTGTAGAAATCTGTACAGTATATAGCCTGTTGTACAGAACGGTTGCCTGGTGGTTAGCTCTGTGATTTTGTGACCAGATTCCGGGCGCTGGATACTGATCCGGCGGCCGGCATCTTGCTTGGGCCCCCCCAGAGCCTGAGGCCCCGGGCGCCCGCACCGCCTGCACCGGCGGTAGTTCCGCCACTGTATACAGTAGTTTTCACCAGTCACTGAGGCTGATTTTCTTTAAGGGCCGGTGCAGACCTTGAAGAAAATCCGGAACGTTGTGCACAATTGCAGACAGCGATTGCTGCGTGGCCCCATTGATTTAAATGGTGTACATTTGTGCGGCAATCACAGAACAAAGGTACATTTACCTTTTTTTGCCGTACACGACGCGCGGCTGTTTTCATGTTCGGTTGCACAGGCGGTGGGAAACGGCGCGATCCGCCCGGCGCGACTGGGGTGGCATTAGAAAATAATGGCACCCACAGTGCGATCGTTGATGATGGGCGACTCCATTACTGCACGGCAATCCATGCGTTATTGTGCAGGATTGCCGCGCGGTTACTGATCGCCTAGGTGTGAACTGCTCACACAATAAATTGTATAAATATTCACGTCAGGTATCCAGTTATGTGCATATGAAATAAGTAGATGGGCATGTATTTTTCACATGACTTGGATAATTAGAGTTAATCTCCGCACAGTTCATTGTGTGAACATTCTCAATTGTCACACGTCACACGTCAGCTCAATAGATCAGGAAGTGAGCAAACACATACCGTTGCTCGCTCACTTCTCGATCATCTCCCTGCGTAGAGCCGTGACTACCAGTCACGGCTCCCTGCAGGGATTCCCCCCTCCCCGCTCCAAACCTCCAGCGCTGACCGGAGGAACGGATGGGGGAGGGGGCGGGTACAGTTGGCTCTGCCTCTAGATAGGCAGAGCCAGCTGTCACTCACGCAGCTGGGTGGATCTCGACAGTAATGTCGGGATCCGTCCCAGCTGTGGCGATCTCAGTATATCACGAGCTGTAGCTGTAGCTCGCGATATACTGAGCTTTGGGTCACGGGAAGACGCTAGTATATGCCCTCCCATGACCCATAAGAGAACTATAGGGAAAAACGCTTACCCCATAGTTCTCTTTTAAATTAGCTCTATTGCCTTCATAAAGCCTATAGTTTCCTTTGGGTGCTCCAGTGCCACAATCTAAAAATCTTCAAGTAGTTTAATCCAAAAGCTAAAAAATCCTGGGCTCCTATAAGGTGGATATGTGGCATTGGGGAATGTGCATGGCACATCAACCAAAGCTGACCTGATCCCTTTCAACTCAACAATGGTTAATGACCGTGACTTTACTTAATGTTCTATGGCCCTTGATGTCAGTCTAACAGGTCTTCTCCAGAACTGCTGATATGTACTTTACATGCTTTCTTTGAACTTACCTTGCATGCACTTTTCCAAAATTTCTTCAACCAAGAGATGTACCTTTTATCCTTTTTTAACTCGGCCCTACTGACTGGTGCTTTTCTTTTTGGCTTCCTATCTTCTTTTGGCAGTTCTGTTTGTCCTGTAGGCTCAGTCGGATCTTATAGCTGTGAGATCATGGGTTTATTTTCCAAACTCAGTCATCCTGTCAGTCCATTTTGCGCCACCAAACTACAAATGGTAGAGGCACATTCTTGTAACTGTGAGGTCCTGGGTTCAGTTCCCTAAATGCACTATATTTGTCTTTTATATATATCAGTGTACTTTTCCAAAACTGTCATTGGTGATATACATTGTATTCTATGGTTCATGGGGAGCAGTAACATATGTCTTAGTTTTGTGAGAGAAAAAAATTATAAGATATGTAAAATTAGTCTTGCTACCTTAGTGTCTGACACATTAATCTTAATGTCTCCAAAGTGCAGAACACTTGAGGACATTGCAAATATTGAGTCTCCGATTCTGTCCAATGCACCCTACCAATCCCTTTTTGTGTCTGCTGTATGCTTCCTCAGTAAGGATCCTCCCACCTGACACGTGCCAGGCTAATTGTAGTTATTTAACAAACATTTAATTAGAATCACTATCAGGGCAGGGAATGATGTACAACCCCAATTCTGAAAAAGTTTGGTTGCTCTGTAAAATCTACATAAAAACAGAATGCAATGATTTCCAAATCTCATAAACCCATATTTTATTCACAATAGAAAACATATCAAATGTTTAAACTGAGAAAATGTCTATTGTGAATAAAATCTGGGTTTATGAGATTTGCAAATCATTGCATTCTGTTTTTATGTAGATTTTACACAGCGTCCCAACTTTTTGGTTGTAAATCGATCTAATTACATCAAGCTTTTTAAATATTCTTATTCTTTATGAATAAACGAAATATATATATATTGTTTTGGTTTAATATGCTTTGTTTATCCAGTGGCAATAAGTGTAGTTTGCCATTTATAACCTCTCTTTTACTGGTCTAATGTAATGATATGACCAACTGCTATGGCAATGATGGGAACTGAAAGGGAAGGTACTCCCAAATCTTCATTTCCTGAGGACTACAGGGGATTGTCACATAGTTGTTCCTAGTTCTACACAGAAAGTTTGGAAAGCTCTGAATTGCATGTGATTGATCCAGTAAATTGGCCTGACTGTAAAATCAACCAATATTCCAGTTGGCATGAAGATTTATTAACACAGCGGTTTTAGGGCCCTATGGTTATTGTATAAGATCTGATTGATAGGGCCTACACGGAGATTGTTCCTATAGCTACTAAAGCAATGTTTGTTCTCATTTTATGATCTGCACTAGAAGAAGGACAGCAGGAATTTGAGCGTTGTGGTTAGTATAGATCTGGAGGATTTTCCGCTTGTTATCCCAGGGAGCAGTAACAGTGCAGTGAACTAAAATAAAAAAATAAAGTTGCACCAGCTTAAAGTACATCTGTCATAATATATATGCAAGGACTGACCTGTAGGTATGTAAACTTTCAGAAAGCTTTGTTTCAAAGTTTCCTTACCAATTAACATATACTTACTACAGGGGTTTATAAGGAAAGGTGCACCAATTGCAGGGTCAACATTTTTTTTTAATCCTGCACTTTAGTCATGTGATGGTTTCCTATCATAAGAAAACTTGCAGTATGATCTTATATTGGCTAATTAACTGAGCTGAGTAGCCTGTATAGGCATATTGGCTGATAACCTTAGTTAATTAGTCAAGATAGGCGCTGTGTACATGCAGTGAGCATTGTAGCCGTGGGGCCAGGACTATGTGCACTATAACAGCACTCATGGGCCAGTGCCTAGGGCAGCAAGATAAAACGGGCAGCTTCAAGCCTCAAAATCTACAAACCTGTGATAAAATTTGTTTATTTTCCCCGAGTCAAGCCACATTATTATGTTAAAAGTCAGCAAACTGCAAGGGAAAGAGTATGCAGGGAATGTTGAGAAAAGTCATGAAACTCATTAAGTTCATGGAAAATCTCTCTTTCTTGTGCGTTTAAAATGATTGTAAAGTAGACAGCATGCTAATTCAAATATACTTTGAGCAACACGATTTATATGTGCTAACATGACAGGGGATGGAGCTTGTACAAAGGGATGTAAACATTCTGGTGTGTCTATAGAAGCATAATACAACACTGCTGTAATACATTTGTCTCTTGACTCCCTTGCTAACTCTCACCTGTAACATATACTTCCCATTCTTTTATTTTCCAAGAATTAGCTCTGTGATATTTCGTTCCCAGCAATTGTTCTACTTATGCTGCATAGTTAATCTATCATGAACGCCTGCTAGGGGCCAGTGACTGCACCTCATTCAATGACTCACTCTGTTTTCTGGCTATTTACACTCTTGATTAGATGATTTATAGACTTGTTTATTTCTGAAACTGACCATCAGTCATATCCGCCTGAGTATATTATTGTGATAAATGAGGTTGTCTTCAAAAGTGTCCAACTAGTTATGATATTTCCTTCTGCAACTTCTTCCTTAATCAATTTTTTTTGGTGTGATACATTTTGTGCTTTTAAGTGTAAATGTTAAGTTTAATTATGTCATGCTTAACAAATCTGAACTATGCGTCATTCATTGCAGCGACAATACAGTTTGCCTTGTCCTGGCAGAAACGGACCACTTTTGGAACCAGGAACAGAAACTGCATTTTTGCCATTTGAAGTTTAAAGTGACACTAAACTCAGGAGTTGAATATTAAAAATGCATTCCAGTACCCTAACTATTAACAAGAATGTCATTTATTTGTGCATCACTCAGCTGTAGATCCTTAAATCATCTCTGAATTGGTACTGACACTGGCCTTCCTTCTGGAGGGTGGCTACTTTTGTTACCCATGGTCCCTGTGTGTTGTAAAGTAGTCACCGCTCCAAGCTCGCTCCTGTGATGGACTACAATCTCAATACAAATGAGTACACTAAACATGAGATTGTGGTCCATCAAGCTTGGAGTGGTGACTACTTTGCAACACACACAGGGACCATGGGTTAGAAAAGTAGCCCCCCCCCCCCCCCCAGAAGGAAGGACAGTGTCGGCATGAATTCAGAGATGATTTGCGGATCTACAGCCGAGTGATACACAAATAAGATACATTTATGTTAATAGTTGAGGTACTTGAATGCATTTTTAAAGATTTAACTATTAGCATAATGCATGCGATACACCCCAACAACTTCCCATAATGGCTGGATACGAAAATAGAAATCATCCAATAGAAGTTGATTAATTAGCACAGCATATAGATGATTTACTGTCCAAAACCACAAACAAATCTATTTTTTACACTATTATTACATCAAACTGAACTGACCACTTGAGCACTGACCACTGACCATACCTGGTCTAGTTTCAAACATCATACATTTTCTGCGGAACTGTGACGGACCGCCTGGTACGCCCTAGTGATGGTTCAGTCCGTCACAGGAACAATCTGTAATAAACCACAAACATCTGGCATTTTACAAAAGAAGAAGCCGTTACCTTGCTGCCAAGTACATTTAGAAAGAAGCATTATACATGTAAAGAAGAAGTATTAATTTATAGCTATTAGCAAAGCAAAATTGTCACTTAGTTCATCTTATATAATATACAAAATGGATTCTTAAGAATAATATGTATTCTTAAAGACAAGATGAATGTTTCTCATATTTCGGGGGCTATACACATAATTTTCCAGCTCAGCTTTACTGGCTGTCTCATGGGCCCTGAGATAACCTCGGTTCACTGATCACACCTGTTAAACAACATTTTCTTGGCTGGTTGTGATCAAATGGAAAATGCATGGTATTTAAATCAAATACATAGTGTTAAAAAAGTGATTCCCTATACATATGAAATTAATTGGATCTGAAGCTGAAGAAAAAAAATAAGACAGTTACTCTATATTTATTAGAACATTTTTATTATATGCATTTTAAATGCAGCTGGTGTAAGCACCTGAATTTGTTTTGCTATTATCTTTCTGTAATCCCCTGACTGGCTGCACTGGTAGAGGCAGGGTCAGCACTAGGAGCCAATCAGTCTTAAGGTGCCCGTACACCTTACAATTATTCCATCTGGGCAGATGGAAAAAGTGCAACGGAGTACGCGGCCGTACAGTGCTGTACGCTCACCCGAACTGCACATCCGTGCAGGTGTCCCTGCGCGGACGCGGATAGGGTCCATCCTAAGAGTACGGACGCCCGCATGTACAGGCAGTTCGGGTGAGCATACGGCCACGTACTCCCATAGAGAAGAACAGGCTGATGCGTACAAATCACACACAGCACCTGTCCTTCCCGGGAACGGCCCGACACGGCCGTGCACGCAACACAGATCTGTACGGGCCGGCTGTTCACTCGTGTGAATGAGGGCTAAAGCTGTTTGTAAAAGGCATAGGAATCTTTAACTTTTAAATGGATGCATATGGCACCCCTTTCTTATTACAAACCTGAAAGGAGACCGGTGCTAATAATGCAGGCAGAGCCAATCGGTTTTAAAAAGGTACATCGGTGAATCTATCTATCGGTGGAAGTCCACAGATTTACTATTGAGTCTATATTGATGTCCAGTACACACATGTAAAACTAGGTCTGGCTGCATGATGATTCATTTTGGTAGTAGTAGAGTTTTGCAGGTAAGGTTAATAATGTTACACACCATTCAAACAAAAGCAGTGATCATTCTGTAAGTCAGTTGACACAGTCCTTAGTGTTTAGATTGCTTATGCTTGGAGCTTCCTATTAGCTGTGCAGTCTAGTCATCTGTAGTTTATTGTACAGCACCCATTAAGTATTCTACATGTATCCTCCACAGGAGTGAGCCTGAGAAGTCGTACAAAGGGAAGGCTTCCAGTTCCAATGGTCATACTACCATTCATGAAGCATGGTGATCTCCACACATTCCTACTGATGTCTCGCATTGGAGAAGAACCCATCGTAAGTTTGTTAGCAGGTGTAACTTTGATATTATAGATGTTTCAATTGCCCTTTTGTGTTGCTTCCTGCTCCTAAGTTAATATAACAATATCAAGCTCAGACCTCCTGTAGTTTACGTTCCTCTTAATGCATGGTTCTGTCATATTGTGCGCAGTCAACATAAGGTGGAGGTTGGCAGTGCAGCAGCTGTCAGATGTAAGGTGACCTCTCATCTTTAACTGCCTGGGCTTAGAGTCATCTTATGTAAATGAAGGGAAAAATATCAGTCTTTCACTGGTTAACCTGCACAGCTATGATATTTTGCCTGAATATTTAGATTCTTGACAAGCCCCAGTTGTTGGCAACAAAGCAATAATAATTTATTTTGCACTCCATTTAACAATCACTCTAAGTTCTTTTGGGCGGTTTATGTATTCCCTTAGTGGTAAGCATGGTTCAGAATGAAGGCGTGTTCATCCTTCATGAGAACATGTCTCCTATGGAGAGTCAGCAAAAAAAAAAACTAAAAGAGGGTTCAGCTATGCCCTGCTCCATCCAAAACTTTAAAAAAATATGCATCACATCAGAGCCTGTGTCATGGAAAGCTTTACGATTGACCAGTCCAACCGGGTCTGTGTATGGCTTCCTAAGCTACTGCATAGAAAACACGGATCTGCATAGATGCATGTAGAGACTACCTCAAGCAGCTTGTCGTGGAATCTTGATTTGAAGAAAAAAAGTAGTCTTGATTGAAGAAAAAGATAGCGAGCAAGAATGGTAGACTTCTCAGCAGAGAGAGAAAAGACATCCATCGTTCTGGACACTAGTCAAAAAAACTGATGCGTGCTGGAAGCAGGTGGGATACTTCTTTTGGTATGCCAGTGTCCAAATCCTCTGGAAGGTTGCAGCATACCCCCAAAAGTCTCTGAATTCCTGTGTCCTTCAATGAATTCCTGTGTCCTTCAATGAATTCTATCTTATTGAGCAATCAGGTTTTGAAAAACTTGTTTCCACGAATAGTTTATTCAGGTACATGGGGGTAGCCATAATTTTTGCACCTTACTTAAATCCCTTATCTCACTGCAAGTTTCCCAGATGGAGTCTTTTTGAAAACAACAGATTCTCTGCATTTTCTAATCACAGGAAACATCCCTAATGCTCATGGTAGCTCAAAACTTAGGCTGCTTATGAACTATAGAGGGAGGTCAAGAATGCAGCTATAATCTGACTGCCCTAGGCTGCCAGTCTTCTAAACATCCTAGCTCTGCCTGTTAGGCAAGTTTATATCAGTGCAGAGTGGAAGGGGGAAAAGGTGAATGGCAGATGCTGCAACCGCACCTCTCTTGGGAGGAGAATGGTAGTGATCGAGAGGTTTTATAATCTGACTTATCAGTGTTTCCCAACAACTGGTGGGCATCTGCCAGCCTACAGACACAATATCGTGGACCAATTCACTGTTATCAGGTGACTAATTCTCATATATAGACTGCTTCGGCTTATGCTAAGAACATGTTTAAATTCAGAGCAGGTACACACACCACTTCTTCTAACACTGGTGGACTATGTCATCAACCAGTAAACCCATCCCAGCCAATAGGCTTTGTGCAGAACATTTAGCCTTAGACATGCTGACCCTGCAGATTTCAGCATGATTGGGATACTGTCACCATATATCTCTTGGTAGCTATAGTGCATGAAACACATAAGAAGATAAAAACTCAAAAGAAGCATTATATTAGCAGTTAATGTAAGAAAGTGAGAGAGTACTAAGGCCACAGCAACCTTGTGTGCTGATGGCATGTCCAGTATCATTACTGTGATTTTAAAAGATTGCTAGGGTGTTTGTAGTGTCATTTATTATGGCACTGATTGCTCTTACAGCTTACATGAAGTAACTATTTGTGACATATAGAACATCCTCAGACATGATCTAATCTTATACAGCATAACATTCAGTTTTGAGTTCAATTTTTGGCTAAGAGTGATACTGCTCAGGGCTCCAGCACTGAAGAACACAGACTTGACTTGTAAATTGGCCAGATTATTTGTGGTGGAGGAGGACTCATTTACAAGCTCTGCGTGAATCCTTCTCTGCTGCTTCAGGCTTGTTTGCAGTCACACTAATTCAGTGTTAGTTGGCAGATTTAACCACATGTTGTTTTTCTGATGCAAAGATAATTTAACGTGAACTTTTTTTTTAAAGAGATTAAAAGTTTTCGCTGCATACCAACTGTTTTAAAACTTTTGAGGTATACCAAAATCTATGAAGGCTCCAGTGACAGAGGAGTGTATATGACCAGCTCAGTCTTGTTTGCAGTCACACTAATTCAGTGTTAGTTGGCAGATTTAACCACATGTTGTTTTTCTGATGCAAAGATAATTTAACGTGAACTTTTTTTTTAAAGAGATTAAAAGTTTTCGCTGCATACCAACTGTTTTAAAACTTTTGAGGTATACCAAAATCTATGAAGGCTCCAGTGACAGAGGAGTGTATATGACCAGCGTAATACCGTGTTTCCCCGAAAATAAGACAGTGTCTTATTTATTTTTTTTCACGAAAAAAGACACTAGGTCTTATTTTCGGGGGATGTCTTACCTGGCTGCTGCTGTCCGCTCTGCCGTCCAGGGAGCCACAAACAGGTGGGCGGGCATGTGTGCGGGCGGGGGGGCGTGTCTGGCAGGG